ACTTGAGTCATTATTTTGCCTACTGTATAGTAGCCAAAAAAATAAGGCAATATCGATCGTTAAACATGGACTGCCGCAACATGACTGACAGCTAAACTTCCTTTCGAAATGAAATAGTAATTATATTTATTAAGCTGCTTCTTGGTTTTCAACTACTCTTCATTTCTGTTCTTACTCGTTGGACAGCCAGAGTGGATTTTATTTTAGGCAGGCTTACTCTAATGAGTTAAATATTGTACTGAAGAGGTATGTAATAGCACCATTAATTCATTCATAGAAACTACCTAATTTTTGCGTTTTAAATGATTAATTGACGAGAAAATTTTAGGCATTTAGCAATTACTTTTTATTTATGGTCAGGTAATGGAACTATGAACGCTTCTGCACTGAAAATCATAAATCAATTACGTTCATCGTCATAGTTTGAGAAAATTCTAAGTCTGATTCTAAAAGAACCGTTAAACGTCTCATGGCCAATTTAATGGGTGATGGTTTGCTTTTTAAGAAGATGTTCTTTAAGTTCATTCGTGACCGTCAATTTCATTGATGATCTGAACAGCACGTTAGGCCTAAGTTTATTTTGCTTATTGTTAGTTTCCTCTTTTATGTAACGTTTTTCAGTTAAGGTGGATTTATCCTGTCGCGTAATCATTACTTAAAATTTGCGCCCAAAAATACAATAGAGGTAATGTATGGAGGTGAGTTGAACCTCCCTCGACTTTTGCGTTTACGCTTGGCCTTCCGCGCATCGCCTCTACTTTGCGCATGTAAATTTTACGCGCGTAGGCACGTAAAAAAATAACACGACAGTGGAAACTCACCCTTATTCGTATTTTGCACGCCAATTTCGAACCAAAAGTTAATTCGGTTCCTGTACTGAGTTCAGTTACTTAAATTCTAAAACTCTACTATCGTATTACTCATTTCACTAAGACTAAGACTAAACTAAGATTATAGTTTCTTTACCTTGATCTTCGCAGTCACTGAAGAACTTAATATCGCGTGAAACTATTTACACCAACGCAATTGCCAACAATTCAGCTGAGAGATCAAACCTTCCCCTCTTCAAGGATGGAGATTGCTCGCTTTTTATTGGCCGTCTGTGTGATGGCAGAAGTATCTAAATCCACATTCTTTCTGAGAGGTTTGTAATATCTTTACGAATATCATAGAAAAAAGCACAACTTTTTTAAATTTACAGTCATTATTGGTGACAGATATTTATATTTGAGTGCATATAATTCTTCGCGAAGCCGAGGTTTCTAAATTCGTGGTGCCCATATTGAGTGGATACCGCGTGGATCGTAGCATTCTCGGAGACCCAGGGGCAGTCAGTCGGGTTGGGAGAAAGGGCGCGACGAACGTTTTCAAGTACGGACGAAAGAGCCCCTGGGTACCGACTCTCGCCGAACTATTTCCAAAACTTCAGGCGGACGCCGGCTCCTGATTGGGCACAAAAAATGCTTTGTATTATTGTGCCCAATCGGCGAACAGTTTCTCCTGAGTTCTTTTCGTGAGTTCGTACACGACGGCTATTGTTTTGATCACGGCTTGTCTGGCTCATGCACCAGAGAAATGCACGCAGTCAGGAAACTTTCAGTTTGATATAAAATCCCCAACTGATTTCAAAATACTGTCTGCCCGCTTTTCCAAAAAATATGCCTGCCTGCTTTTCCAAAAATACAAGCTTGAGCTTACAACAGGTATTCACGCTTGCATCGGTCACGTCTTCCGTAAATACTAGGGAATTTTAAAAGATGCCACGACGGCTGACAACCACGAAAAAGTCGCATGGAAAAGGGACTTCACATTTTTCCAGTTTCTATCGGGATTAGAAGGAGACTCTGTTCGTAAGGTACTTACTTTGTAAAATGCAAGCGAACTCTTCTGGAGCTGAATTTCTATCAACCATATCCAAGTTCATGCCGAGAGAATGAATTTTGTCATTGCTTGTTTACGTCCTTCACAAAACATGAAATTAGGCATTTTCACAGGTAGTCGTGCAGTTGACGGCAAAGAAATGTACAAAAAAGTGTGATGCACGTGCAAAGTTGTTGTTTTGCCTTCTCAAGCTAAGTTTCTCTTCGCCGCCGCATCTTTAACTTCTTATTATTTACGATACATTGTGATGAGTCACAAACAGAATATTCTGGGTGTATATATAAATGCAAAATTTGCAATAAATTTACTCTACAGTTATAAGAAACATTCATAGTTAAGCAAAATTTAGCCGTTAATTAATGGCTAAATTCTTAGTATAAATAGTAAGATTTAGCCGTTAATTAATGGCTAAATTTTTCTTTTATAATAATACAGAGTGACTTAACGACTAATTTTTGAGCTATTTTGAAAAAATAGCTCATATGTCAGTGGTGTGAGCGTATGTATCTTTGTGGCTTTGTAACTTTGTATCTTTGTAACTTTGTATGTTCGGATGTTTGTTGCAAGAGCCAATAAGGTTGAAGGTACTATTAGTTGATGCTAGGAACCAATGAGATCTTAGCATCTACTTAAACATGACATTGGTAAAGGTCGAACAAGGGCACTTTGAGACCGCCATCTTGATTCTTCACAATTTTTTCGTCTTTTATTACGGCTACAGGTGTTTGGAAGAATTACATTAAATATCTTCATGATTCAAACGCTGTGTACAGTGATGCAGCTGTTTAAGGGTTCATATTTTAGTATGGATGCTGCTTCAAGGCATTTCTGACCTAATTCGGCTATCGGTACAACGCACGTCAGTATGAGTTCTGTTTCACCCGCTACAACTGGGTAGAGTATAAAAGATCATATATTTTCAAAGCTCTTCCAATGAAGCAATAATTGATATTTAGATATAGACTTTAATTCGAAAGTATGCGCCCTATAAAATGTGGTTTTAGAAGTTTAAAAAGGCAGCTTATTTTTGTGAAAGCTGTACCGAGTATTGTTAATCGTGTAAACAAGCTTTAAAAATATCATTCTCTCGCTTACAAAGTTCAACAGACCTTTTTCGTTCTGTCAAAACAACAAAAAAAGAATAATAAGTGAACAACATAATACATCCTTCCTGCATACTAAGTATTATAGTTTCTGAAACCTATTTTATTTAGTAAAGATGAGTAACTTAAGTAGAAACAGTAGCGTTAGGGAATAAAATTGGAAGAAGCTAGTTGACACAAAATTAGATACTGTTGTATTGAGTGGAGTAACATGATACAAGTAGAAATATATTTCGGCAGTTTGATAATTTTCTTGGTAGTTAATAAATGTTAGGCTGTCAACCTTGACGTTGCATGAAACATAATTTAATTACAGGTGTTGTAATAAAGCCGAGGTGATTTCTTAAAATCGCTTGAGAAAATTTTGTACTGAAACAATTTGCCTTTTTTTTTTTTACGTACGAATTGTAAAAGGGCCAAAGACCAACATCTTCACATGCAAATTGTATGCATGAGTTATTTTTATAATTCTGTTTACTAGATTACTGTGTGATAACTCGAATTCCCTCACGTACGAACCACGAAAGGGGGCAAAGTCCAACACTTTCACGTGCCAGCTGTGTGACTGTACATCTCATGCAGATTGGCTTTTCACAATGATAAATAGTAACTTGAACGTATGAAGACCTGTTTCGTTTTGTAACCAATGCCTTAAAAGAGGCTCTTGTCTTTTAAGAAGCAATAGCTTTTAAAACATGAAGAAATAAGTTGTCGGAGTTAAAGACTGTTTCACTGAGTAGAATCGCACGTGAAAACCTCGTGAATTATGATGATGCAACCATCTACCACAGTGATAAAAATCCTGGTATTTCGTAATTATTCAGTATTCGATGAGTCACATTTTGGCTTAAGAAACTCCGCGGAAACCTTAGAGTTTTCCTTCTAATCAACGTTTGGTGAGTAGAAATTTATTTTGCTTCAACAATTTGTTTAACTTGCACCAGATGTAACAGGGAAAGACAGAGGAAAGTGAATATATAGGTTGAGGATCGACTCAGCTGAGCGTTTCGCGTTTTCATTTATGTAGCGCAATACCCAATTTCGCACAAAAACCAAATCTACATTTAGGGTGAAAGAGGTAGATTCATCACTCTTGGTAAGGTTACACCCAAGTATTATAGTTACACTGAAGCACTCAAAATAGCTCATGCACGTTTAACGTGCCTATGTTTTGTTATGTCTGTAGACAAAAAATATTGCAAATTTAGCTATTGTCTAATCACCGGAGTATTCTCGGGGCAAATTGAATTGCTCCTGCTGATAGCGTCCCAAACGTTTTTTCGACTCATCGGTAGTTCCTTCGTTTCTGGTTAGGAAAGTAGAAAATAAAAGTTTTACTTGCTCGCACAAGCTTGGTGAACGAACCCGGCAAGTGTGGCAAGACAATAGCCGTCGTGTACGAACTCACGAAAAGAACTCAGGAGAAGTTGTTCGCTGATTGGGCACAAGAATACAAAGCATTTTTTGTGCCCAATCAGGAGCCGGCATCCGCTTGAAGTTTTGGAAATAGTTCGGTGGGCCTACACTTAATTCCATCCGCCAAACTGACGTTGACACATTAATGATTCGTACACAAAGTAGGGTTAGGGTTAGGGTTATATATTTAAATCAAACTAGTATTCGTCACCAAGTCGTCGGTGGTGTAGGGGTTAGAGTGATGCACTCCAGATCGGATGCTCCGAGTTCGAATCCTACTCATTCTATCCTGATTTGTTTTTTTCCTTAAAAATTGAAGACACTTTGACTTTTATGAACATTTCATAAAGAAATTTCATATAAGAAAAGTGAAATGTCTTGTGAGAGGAGGATGTCAGTTTGGTGGATGGAATCAAGTGACGACCAGTTCGGTGAGAGTCGGTACCCTGGGGCTCTTTCGCCCATACTTAAAACTTTCGTCGCGCCCTTTCTCCCTACCCGACTGACTGCGCCTACTCGGGTGCCTGCGTTCCTGAGGGGAGATGGGGTCTGTAAACAGGCTATGTGTTTTGACAAGAGCTTGGTTTTGATAACAAAACAGGTCAAAACAATTTCTCCACATGCAAACGAGAATGGACAAAAATTGGTTGCTACCAAGATAGACAACCTTCCCGACTACTCCCTGAGATGCTGTTGAACGACACGGATAGGTACAGTAAATACCATGAGCAGGGTTATCTTCTGAACTGGCACAAGTGGAAAGAATCGATTCACAGGTAGGGTAAATTTTATCAAACACATACAAAAGTAATGTTACTTTACATTGTATAACACAAGAAATCAATAACTCTATAAATGAAGGAAAGCTAGATACCATGTGATTAGAATAGATCCAAGCTTCGCGTCATCAAGTTTAGGTCATAACTACAGCCTTAACATGCATATACACATATGTATATTTCTATTTCTATTTATCTATCTTAATATTCTGTCCACCTATCCATCCTATCAAGCCACAGATTCGCCATTTTCATCAAAATCGCCACTCGCTAAGGCCGGAGCCCTTTTGCCATCTAATTTGAATATTCGCCAAACCCATGGCAAACCCATGGCAAATCTTCCGCCAGATTCGCTGATTTTGTCACATTCGCCATTTTCGCCAAAATTGTCACTTTACAAGAGAGCCTCTTGATATCTCATTTGAACTCGCAAATGTACGCTAAATTTCCCATTTTCGTCACATTTTCATTTTTGTCAAATTTGACATTTTCGTCAAATGCGCCAGTATACAAGGGACGGCTCTTAACATCTCCCCTTGAATTTTCTCCAAACCTCCGGCAAATTTTTGCCATTTTCGCCGTTGAATGCTTTTCTGGACATAAGTGTCTAAGTTGACGTTGGAAATTTCATTCTAAATACATTATTAAACAAGTTTGATTTACTCCCTTTAGCCTTGCCTGTCGCTGTGCCGAAAGAGCCCTGCAAAAAGGTTATAATTACTTTGGTCTGCAGTTTTACGGCGAGTGTTGGAGTGGACCGTTCGCCGAGTTCAATTACAGTCGCGCCGGCGTGTCAGACAGATGTATCATGAATCTTAAAAAACCAACCGCCTGCGTACAAGCTCAAGATCAGGAATGTGTCGGGCAGCAGCTTACTAACTACATCTATAAGCTAACATCAAGTAAGAACCATCAGTTAGTGTCGGATCAAAATGTTTGATAGCCCATAGCCTGGAGATACAGCAAGGGATGTTCCTCACCCGGAACAGGGAACTTAAACAAGGGTTAAGTTCCCTAATGTCCCTAGTGGCGAGGAGCGAGGTGACACTGCTATATTCGCAGGCTGTGTATCCCAGGGTTAGCGCTTTCACATTCGCCGTATCTGGCCGCGGACCGCTCGCGCATAATAAGTGTCACCATATTAATTGCTAACCCGTCAAATTTACGTTTCCAGCGTTAAAACACTTTAAAGTAAGGGGGTGTTTTACATGACACCGGCGCGAGTTCAATCTGGTTCCCTCTCGTGGCTCCGTATTTGTTTACATGATACCACCACAAAATGTCATGTCGGCGTGAGTTCACCGCTGTTATTGTACCAGAGCGAGAATTTCTGACTCCGGTAGGGGTATCATGTAAACGCGAAATGACCACTCGAAATCCCGAAGAGGCATCCTAGCAGCTCGCGCGTATATATACAAAAATACTAATCTTACACTTGAAATATGCAGTCAGTATAAGGAAAAAAGTCTAGACCCGATTTGTTTGATCAGGGGCCGCATGGAAACGTTGGGTAATGATGACGTTACTATTGTTGACGCCCGCAAGTATGAATTGGTTAGGATGACGTAAAACAGAAAATGCCCAAAGGGACCGCTTTGGTCTTATAGCAGGCGTTTTGAAAGTAATGGACCAAAAGACACTCTTTAAGTTAACCCCTTTGGGCGCATGCACGTGTTCAAAGGGATTAATTGCACAACAGAACCTCTACTAGTGTCAGATTGTCGTTTATCATATTTCACTACTCGTTGGATGTTTGTTCGTGACGAATGTTACAGTTGCTTTTGGGTAAATCAAGTAAGACTAATAAATGTCCCGGTTGGAAAGTTTAAAATCAGCATACGACTTTGGCCCTCCGGCAAACATTGCCCTGTCCCCAACTTGGTCGAGGACGACTCAGCACACTCCGAGACGACGGCGGCTGCACCCCCGGACAATATGGATTCTAATGTCATTCTTATCAAGTCCGTCGCCGATGAAGTTATAAGGGGCGTATATATATAGTTATAAGGAGCGTATATATACCCTTTCAGAGTTTGCCAAACACGAGTTTACCATTCACAAATCTTTGATTAGCAACGATTTGCCAGACACAACTCTCTTTGGGGGAATACAAAGTCTACGTCCACAAACAAGCAAGTTTCACTATACAAACGAGTGAATCAACGGCTAGCTTATCACTAGCACAACGATGGACGACCACCATTACGGAATTGAAATTCGTTAAGTGATTAACTGAATTCTGCGCTGACGTATCCCCTGCTCACAGATGTCCTTCTATAAAGTCTTTGTTTTAAGTGTTACCTTGCGTAAAAAGTGAAAAAGAAATAGCAAAAACTTACCACTTCTAATCACACCTTTACTTGTGGTTTTCTTGTGGCGGGGTTAGCTGTAGTGTCAACTATTACTAGCTTATCAACATGAAGAGTATCTTCAGAGAAACGTGATATGAAGTGACCCAGTCATCATGTAAACGCTTTACGAAATCAAGAAGTCATCCCGGTATGAAACTCACGCCGGTGCGAGTTTTCTCATGTAAACCGCCCCCTATGTGTGGTCCAAACATTTCACATAAACATCCCAAAACAAGACCTCCAGTTAAGTAATAATTTTCCTTTCCAGATTCAGGTCCTCAGAGCCCGGATGTTGACGGTGGTTACTCCCAGTGGTCTCAATGGAGTAAATGCAGCAAGTCATGTGGAATAGGGCGAAAATCACGTGAGAGGACCTGCACCAATCCCAGACCACAAGGTAATGGAAAGTCATGTCGCCGACTTGGCTGGCCAGACGATTCAACGATGTGTTATCAGGAATGCAACAGTAAGACAGCCATTGCCTCGATAAACAGTTTACTTAATTTTCCTCTAACCTTAGCTCAAATCAGGCCTTAAAGAATTAAACTACTGCGAAAAACCGTACATTTAAGGTTTCTTTGCTCGTAAACAATTTTTCAAAGTGGTGTAATGATCCATTTGTCCCCGAATAAAATAAACGGAAGTATCAGAAGAAAAACGCAAAAAAATGGCTACGAAGCCAAGCAAACCCATGAGGATTAACGGAAAAAACGGGGACTATTGTTATTACTACCTGTTGCATTTAATTTCTTAGCTGGTTTGATATCACTGAGAATGAAGTTTCCTGGAAAAGGTTTTAATGATAGGATAACCCAAAAAAAGCAAAAAAGCTTTAAAAATTAAAAGTTGTTTAAAGAAATAAATATGTGTGACGTCTATTTTAGCATCTTCAAGTCAAGGCTTTTAAAATGGCTGACCGACATTTCTAATGGTTTGAAATGCTTGGTTGAACAGCAATTTAAAACTGAACCTTAAAGGAAAAGCGTTTAAAGTAGCTTATTCATTTTATTCCTATTTTCCTTTAAGACTGTGATAAGGTGATGGATGTCGGCATCGACATCGACTCCTCAAGCAGCGTTCGGCGCAACAATTTCGAGAAAGTGAAAGCCTTCCTAATCCAGCTGGTTGACAAGATGCACATTTCGCATCGAATGACACATGTGGCTGTCATCCATTACAATCACAGAGCCTATCTGGACTGGGACTTTAAATCAGACCGCGCCAAGAACGCCGTCGCTCTCAAAAAAGCCATCTTGAATCTAAAGTACCAACCGGGAGGGACTAGGACGGACATAGCGATGGATAAGTCCATGGAGGAGATGTTTAAAGTTGATCACGGTCAGAGACCTGATGTTCCTCATGTACTGTTTGTTCTAACAGATGGAAAGACTAGCTCGAGATCGAAACCTTACGAGAAAGTTCTCAAAGCTTACAAGGTAAATATGTATTCAAATCTTCACACACACTTTTCTTCAAATAGACGCTAACTGCAATAGTTTAATATGATAAATACAATTGTTTAAATTAGGAGTGAACTTAACTGATCCAAACAAATCCAGGTCGACAGAGACTCAGAGGCTCTGGGATGTTACCATTCGGCCACACTGCCCTTCGGCCCTTCAGTGACATGTTTGGTATTCTGTTGGTTTTTCCTTGAGATGTGAATTGTCTTAGAGGAAACCGAATCGAACTGATTCTTGGAAGAAAAACCTAGCTTTCAGTTTTTTTTCTCACTTTTTCTAGCTTTTTCTTCCCATGAAGTATTAGCAAAACGATCGCGTGAGTTGTTAAACTAAAGCTTTGAGAAAAACTAAGATTTGACTTTTTTAATACTTTTCTAGCTTTTTATTCCCATGCAGTGTTTGCAAAACGATTGCGTGGGTTGTTCAAAGCACAGGCCACCCAGAAGCTCGACTGAAAAGCCGTAACCTCGGGACAATATAAATGATCTCTCCCTCGCGCATCATTCGAAATAAAGAGCTTGCTTGCAATTGTTACAGCTCGAATTTTATTAACACAATGTATGAATATTCGATGGTTTTTTAAACGATTCGAAATAATAATAGTAATAATAATAATAATAATAATAATAATAATAATAATAATAATAATAATAATAAAAAAGAATAATAATAAATTTCTTTCCTTGTATTTGAGTTGCTTCTTATTACTGTTTATTCAATTCTGAAGTAAGCCATACCACTGAGAGAGGAGTTGACAAGGGAGGGGGATAAGGGAGAGAAGAAAACTGACTTTTCCTCTTCCTTGACCCTTTTACTCATGCGCTTTCCAGGTAAAAAAGAGAGTAACGAGTATCTTGATTTCTCACAAACAGGATAGGGGGGTGAAGGTCGTTGCAATCGGAGTCGGCCCGAGCGTGGATAACAAAGAACTGACTGAGATCGCCATGGGACAACCAGACAACGTCGTTCACGTACAACAATTTGACCAACTTGTGTCCAAGCTAGACGAGATTGTTCAAAAATCCTGTGCAGCGATGAAATCTAAATTGAAATATTACTAAGAGTGAGTATTAAGTATTGTTTACGTACTCAAAAATATAGCACCAAAGTTCAATATTGCGAGCTATGCCACTCTGAAAGCCAAGAAATTAAAAGTACTCTTCGAGCGACTTCCTGCAGTTTGAAAGTCGTGTCCCTTGCTGTTAGCCAGGAAAACCACAAGCTGTGCTTGTGTCAGTGTCTTTTCAACGATTTTCAAGCCGAGGCGCCAGTTGGTAATTTATCGTGCCAAACACCAAGACATTGTTCTTTTGAACCTAAGTCTATTATACAGATCGTAGTTAATGTCTATGGCTTATTTTGTTTTTTCTTTTCAGGTGAAAACATGGAAAGAAGCTCAGTATTAAGTGAAAAAAGATAGCTTTAGTTACATGTCAAACGTTGCAAATTAAAGATGTCAAAGAGAGCAATAAATTACTGTAATGCCTACAGAGAACTTCCTCTGAAATAGCTCAGTTGTTATTTTGTTTAATCGTTAATTCTTTCGCTTTTGCACATCTAAAGGACGGAGGTGGGGGGGGGGGGGTGGGGGAGGTTTCGCGGCTGAACCGTTGACGTAAAAAACGCGCATGAAAAGTTTCGACAAAAAGGTAGCAAACATTACAAAATTGCAAAAAAATCTTGAATTTCAGCAATTAATTTCCCCGTTATTATGCTCGGGAACGCATTTCCGACGGCTGTAATTTTAACATTTTCTAGGGTCTCCCCCGGATCACTCCTTAATACCCCCTCGACTTTGCAATTCTTTATTCGAGTTTCCCAACTCCGCCGTAATCAACCAGTCACAAGAGTGTTTACTCCCTACATACTTTATATATTTGAGTAGGTTTAGAAAAAGGCAGCCACCGGCTGATGTGATTGACACTCCTGGCTAATTTATTTAGTTGAGTGACCAACATTTTAATTGGCATGATGAAAATCAAGAATCCGGCAACATTTCCGTTCGCTACACCGTCAAGAAGCAAAGTTCGCTTTCAGTGGCTCACGTCGAAGATAAGCCGTTAAAACTTCCCCATAATCATCAGTCTCATGGCTTTGACAATGTCTTCAAACAGAAACAAGAGTATCTGGGTTCAGGGCTTCAAAGCTGAAGGCTTGATATTCAGGTTTAGCCAAGGCCAAATGCAAAGCTCTCTTGGGAACTCTTAAGAAATGTCTTTCTAAATAAAAGTTTTCTGAGCCTGCAATCAGTTGAATACCATAACTGGTCAGCACAGAACTTTTAAAAATAGGTCACCTCAATGAATTGGACACCTGAGCCCGCGATGCGGTCATGCGACACTGGTCAGCCGATACGTTATATGACTGATGTCAATTGATCATAACTATGATGGATGTCCAATATCAAGTTAAACACAACTTTATATGTTTTGGACTATTTAGCAAGTAAGTAAGACATTTCACATCCGCTTTAGAACATGAATGGCCGGACGTACGCACGGACGAAATAGATAACCAAATTTTCTACCCATGGTGCTTCGCTGCGCGGGAGTTCCGCTATCAAAAAAGAAAACCACACGCTTGTTGCCTCCTGGCTCAACACAGCTTTAATATCAACGCAGGCATTGCCTGTTGTAGAGATGTGCAATCCGTGACAAGGGAGTATTTCTCTTTGAGGAGATGCCTTGATTCCAGTCATGGAGAGAGCATATGAAAATCGATAAGGCAGGGGTAAAAGTGCTCCACAAAGATTGTCATAGATAAAATTATCCTCATTTAAAGGGACTATGTCACGAGGGTATTGCTGTTTTAGGTCAATACTCCGATTCGAGAAAAAACCGGAAGCTGCATGGAAGTGAGTCTCAATAGCCCTCGCGGCAAATTTGAAATAACTAACATGGAGGACGATCAAGTCCACCTTACTCCAGAGGACATTCCTGGTGCTAGCTTTAGTGAAGTAGAGATAGGAAAATTGACCGTTGCTCAACTAAAGTTTTGTCTATAATGCCGCCGTATAAATCAAAATGGTAATTATAAAAAAGAAACTGTTGGAAAGGTAGGTGTACTTTATCCGGCTTCGCGCGATCGATCAGCTGTTTATGTTGTTTGTTTTCAACTACAAGCTTAAATATCGATTTAGACTCATGTTTTCATACAAAACTTGCTTTCTCAAGGTCAAGAACCTGCAAGCAATGAAAAATGTCAATCGACTGACGTAAAGTGCAGACCCATACGCAACTTCTTCAACAATTGTGTAACTTGATACTATCCCCATCAGGAATCATTTTCGGAAATGGAACAGCAGGATAAACTGTTTTTGTATAGTTTGTTTCAATCTTTCAACTTTAATATTCTAGGTCTAACTTACGTGATTTTGTTGAAATTGGATCGAACAGCGTGCATGGGATGGACACTTCGATACTTTCTTCCCTGGATGTCTGAGGAATGGCAGGGTTTAAAAAGTTTCTCTGTCTTTAAAGTTGGCTTATGTTGTACAGTCCTCTTTCCTGGTATTCCCCTATTTTCTAGGTTTGGAGGTACAGTTACGGTTATCAGTAGGTTGAACTTGTCTGGATATTTCATGCAGTTTCCAGATTACCGCCATCATATGGTAGCAACAACCACTTTTTCCGGCTGAGCATACTCGCTTGTCACACTCGGCAGCTAGAATTTTGCGTTTGCCGTTTCTCTGAAGTACCATTTTGACTTTGTACAGCTGTTTGTATTTCACAGATTTCCTTTAGGAGGCCCAGCAAAGCGCTCTAAAGTAAATAACATCATCCTCGGAATTTGGACTCGCACGCTAGGAGGTCGTGAATAAATGAGAGCATTCTGAGCCCTAAAACTTAATTGCAAACTCGGCAACGGCATCAGCAGATTTCCTGGTGTTCTTTCCACAGTTCCTTAGGTGTTTTGATGCATCAGTTGGAACGAACGTGGGAAGGACGGTAAAATCATCACCAAACGCTGAATCAGCGGTGGGGAAGTTCTTGAAGTGGTTTGCTGCATCACTCGAGGTTTCCCCATTTTCCCTCAGTTCTCCATTCTGTCTAGCTAACTTTGCTTTGCTTTAGTGAAGCTCCGGCCCTCTGGGTCATGGTTATATATTTTTTAAATTTTTCATTGCTTGCATAGAGGTTCTTGACTCTGAGAAAACATCTGTCTACAACCGCTGTTTTTTTTAAATAAGCTTGTAGTTGAAACAGCTGATCGATCGTGCGAAGCCGGATGATGTCCATCTACCTCTCCAACACTGAGTCTCTTTTTTAAAATTACCGGCAGTTTAGTCAAACCTTTAGTGAGCAACGGTCAATTTTCGTATCTCTTCTTCACTAGGGCTAGCACCAGGAATGTCCTCTGGAGTAAGATTAGCCTGAGATCATGCCCTCTCCCTATTATCCCTTTATGTCTCTCAAAGGAACAAAGAAGCAAAAAAAATAATAATAATAACGCCTGATCTCAGGTTAGAGTAAGATCGACTTGATCGTCCGCCTTGTTAGTTATTTCAAATTTGCCGCGAGGGCTATTAAGCCTCACTTCCATGCAACTTTCAGTTTTTTCTGGAATCGGACTATTCTGTGCTGTAGTCATCGCATATAGTGCCTTTTAATTTCCATACACAAAACGCCCCTGTAGAGTTATGAAGAAGATATCAAACTAATTTCATCAGGGAGCACTAACCATAATAATTATTCTTGGTGATTCCTACAGGTATAGAATTGAAACTTGAAAAAGTTGGCTCAGTTTTATTTAAAGTTTCAATAAATATTCATCCTTGCCATCCGTTGTAACAAACGACAAAAAAACAGTTTCATTGCCTAAATATAGTCTTAGAAATCAAAGTAATATATCCATGCAAGGACAAATCTTAGCTTTGTAAAGACTGATCAATGAGCTGAACCTTCAGCAGGATATAAACAGGTAAGCTGGAGCCAATTCAAAGAATTGTTACATGCTGGGGTACAAGTGTGACGATTGTATTAGAGCCTTAAGAACAATAGCAGTACGCTGACTCGTAAATAACACGTGTGATAGTTTCATTGTACAGTGAAACCTGTATTAAGCGGACACCGTATTAAGCGCACATCCTCTATTAAGCGGACAGTAGCTGAAGTCCCCAAATTTATTTCCCTTATTTACTTTAAATAAAAACCTTTATTAAGCGGACGCGGACACCTAAAAAGTACCTGAAATGGTCATTTCTATTGTTTCCAACCTGTATTAAACGGACACTTGTAATTAAATTCCACCACCCAACATGCCAGACACCGGAAATGCGAAAGACTGCCACCCACAAATTTTCATTTTTTACCTTTTTTTTTTAAAAAAAGTGACTTGCCGAACTTATTTGAGTAGTTTCACAGCACAGTTATGTTTTCTATTTCGTTTTGTTTGTATAGAGCTTGTTTCACTCATCTGATTTCTTCAGATTTGAGTTGCAATCTATGTTTATGGTACGGGTTCACTAAAATAAAGAAATTAATGCAAACGTATATCGTCATAGTCTCTGGGAGTATTCTAAACGTTTCCACTGTTCATTTGAATGGCATTTGACACCTCATATGACGTTATCTATTGAAACCTGTATTAGGCAGACAGCCTGTATTAAGCGGACACTACAGCATTCCCCGAAGGGTGTCCGCTTAATACAGGTTTCACTGTAATTCGTTAAATTTAACCCTGATGGGCACCCCAAAGAACAGTTGATCAGGATTCTATATAGGAAGTGGAAAGAAGAACAGTTTTAAAACCTGTAAGGTCTTTAGCCTTGTACCTCTTGTCTTCCTCTCTTCGATAAAACATGCATGATTATACGGTTTCCTGCAAAAGGAGAAATAACAATGATCTTTCCTTTTCTTATTTCTCGTGAAAATTTATATCAAATAGCTCCTCAATATTTGAGCCTCATTGAAATGATAAATGTTTTTCGTGACCATTTATTGGAATTGTATACACTGCTTTTGTAGTGGCGAGATACAGAACCGCGCAAATAATAACAGAAGAATGCACAGAATGGGAAGGATTGTGACGCCGCGAGTCATTTCATCACATCTTGTTTCGA